TATTATTGTCTGTATTTCATGTGTTTTTCTGGTGCCAAATATGATGGCAATTATGGCAATAATAAATGCAAATATTGCTAATTAAATGGTCTTTTCAAATACACACAGTTTTAACCGGTTGTTAAACTGTAGGCAAACAAAAGGCGGCCAAAAATAATTTTCTCCCAATTTGTAAACAAAGTAATGAAATAGAAGTCCAATGTTTTTGTTTTGTTTGAATTTTTATTGTTTTAATTATACAATGAAAATATTTGTGAACACAATTTAAGCCATTTGTGAAATATTGCATTTAAATCGATTTGGGGACCCATTCAACACAAATAGTTTTTGATAGTGTATTGATGAATGTTATATGAGTTATCTGTACTGTACTTATATTTGATATAATGTTAGGAAACCGTTTGAATGTTTTATAAACTATTTGATAAAATGTTTTTGTTTTAAATACAGATATTTTTAACGTATGATACGTCGAGTGTATATAATATTTAAGGGGTGAACACATGCCCTGTTTTGAAATATAATGGTTTGAAATTGAAACTCAAAACCATTTTAATCGCTAAAACTCATCCCAAACTGTTTGGTTGCTTAGAGACGGACGTATAAATTGAATGCAATTAATTGTTTCATTCATTTATATCTGATTTGTTTTCTTTCGCTAATATTCTCATCATTTCTATTCATTTGTTTTTATTCATTAAATACTAAAAACAGTTATGTATTTCTAAGACATCATTAAACTGTTGCCATTTGTATGAAATTGAATTGGATTTTATTGAGAGATTTTCGTAACCAATGATTATAGATATTTTTCAAACACAATGTTTTGTTTGCACAGACAGTACCTGTTGTTTGAATTAATGGTGAAAGCGTTGGTTTTATGTGTAGTTTGTTTTTATAACTTAATACTGGAAGACAATTCAATAATATACTGTATGTTTTCAATTCAGTCAATACACGCGATCGACAGTCAATACTAGTTTTGATTTAATTTGTATGGATTGTGAAATATTGTATTATTATTGAAGTATTGATTATCGCTTTCAATATCAACAGAGTATTGAATGTTAAGTTCAGTTCACATTTGGTAGGCTTTGGTTTCAATATAAGCCTAATTTGTTGTTCATTTGATGAACGTTTCCGTCATATTTACACACAATATTGTACTCTAAAAAGGAGTCACTTTTTTAAATCTACACTCAATTAGGCTTAACATATGAGATCCGGGACATCAACGCATGCTTTACACGATTAGTGACTCTTTAGTTGAGTTTTGATTACAGACAATAGAATTTGTGTTAAATATTTGTGAGTTTGGCTCATAATTGTGGGTCACTTTTGTCTTAAGTGCTAATTTGCGGCACTTGTATAAGTGCTATCAATTATTGGATGATTG